TCAGTGCTCTGACCCCCCCCCAGCAGAGCAGGAGCCTCCGAGACCCTCGATAAGGTGCCTCGGGGTCTCTCCCAGGCCTGGGTCACCTGGACACTGACCTTCTCCCCCACCAAGCATCACAGGACTAGGCGGTAATTCCTGTCGGGTCCGTGGGTTTTGGCACCACGGCTGCAAGTCCCTGGGGCGTGCGTACAACCCTCCTCGGCACCCCTCCGCTGCGCCCACGTGCCAGCCAAGGGCCTCCCGCTCCGAGGGGTCTGTCCCCGTTCCTGTACGTGGCCGAGAATGGATTGTGACCCCCCACCATCATCTCTGGGTTTTTTTTTGGCATCGGTGCCTTCCAGCACTTCATGGGATACCACAAGGATGTGTGTGTGCGGCCCCGTTCGACGTGCAACGAAGGGTACGGAACACCATCGGGTACAGCCGCAACTAAGCAGGGAGCTGCTGGAAGCACTCCCTGAGGACAAATAAGCCAGGAAAGGAAAGAACCGGTGACAAAAAATACAGACGGGAACTATCAAAATGAAAGGCGGGTCAAATTATTTAGAGGCGCAAACCAATCACCTGAAGGAAATTGTAACACGAAAAGAAAAGTTTAGAAGAAACAAGTGCAAAAACCCGCACCGCAGAAGTCACGGTGAGGCGGCAGAAGCGCCGGCGGTGCCATGGGCAGCCCCGCCGCTGAGCCTCCCAGGCTCCCAGCACCGTGCTGGGTTTGTTGGGGGTACTGAGGGCGTCTGCGCGCCGATCGGCCTGGGGGCAGCGTGGGCCTTACAGGGGTACAGGGAAGCAGTGCCAAACACGAATTCAGAAATTCAAGGAAGAGCAGAGAAGCAGATGGCGCAGGGTTGGGCTTGTAAGGCAGGACTACACCAGACCTTGACCTTGACCATACAACGTCCAGCCAAGACAAGGAGGTGAGTGCAAGAACGGCAGGTTCATGGTGTTTTGCTGATGGATATTTAGGAGGAGGTCCCCCTCTGGAAGGGGGAGGGTATATGCCCCTGCACCAGATCAGGCCTCAGTCACTGCCACCAACTTGCTGCCTCGGCGCCCTTTCCCTGGCCAGAACAAGGAGCGTGGCTGGCAACCCCAGCAAAGTGGGCAAATTCCTCTCAGCAGCCCAGAACCCAGCTTCAGCTCATCCAAAGCAGCATCGGAGCCCCAGGGTGCTGGAGACATGCACAGACCTAACGCTGGAGGCCAAGCAACGGTACTCTGAGGTATTTTGGGTGATGTAATCAGACGTGATACTATGATCAAGATCCTGGATCCATCTGAAAAGGGCTGCAGCAGTGATCCCCAAATGCTTTTGCTGGTTTTCTAGCACTGAGCCTTTGGCTTCCAAAACTGGTCTCGAAAAACTAAATGAGACCAAGCTCATGTGCTACTTTTGTGTTTCACTTCTGTCATCTTTTCCTGATTCGCAGAGCTAATGAGTTCTCCTCCTCCAACCATCAGGCTAATAATGTAAGTCGGAATATAGGCATCAGGGATAACTTTAGTTATTTTGTGACTGCGGGACAGTTTAATCTTTTAGAATATTTCAAGTTTAACTTTTAGTTTAGTTTTAGCTTTCCTTTTTACATTACAGTTATGACTTCATTGTTAAAAATAGCTCTTAATGGACAAGTCCTTTGTACCCATTATGAACCCGCGAGGATCATTCACACAGACCTGCTTCCAAAATCAAAGCCTGTTAGTGGGTTTTTGCCCAGACAATTAAAGACTTAAAATACCAAATACTTTATACTGAAATTAAAAAAAAAACCCAACCAACACATAGAACAATTGTTATTAAAAAGGCTTACTTTGAAATATCTAACGCTAATTTTTAGGATGTCTATCTAACACTTCATGTTGATTCTGAGCGATGACTTTTGTTGTTGTCTCTGTTGGAAACAGCACAAGCTTTTGAATTCCGTTGGTTCCCTTATGGTCTGTAATCAGCGCTGACAAGGAGAGAGTCTTACAAGTCCCGGCCACCCTTCGAGGCCCCACAGTCATCCAAATGCAGGGACCTATATGACCAAACATCTTTGGAGCCACGAGTGCCACTAAATCAAATCTGTCTTAATGACTCCACAAAAGTTACATGGTGTGATCTGCTGTTAAATGTCCCATTTGCTCCAATCAATTTATTTCTGGGACAAAAATGTAAGCGGTAGAGCTAAGATCCTGCCATAATAAAAAAAAAAAATAATTCTGAAGTGAGAAAGAGTAAAAATAACAAAAACGCAGGAAACAATACTTCACATTTATAAGGCACTTTCTATTTCTACTACATTCCTACATCTTTAATACTGTGAAGTTGAGAGATATTAATCACATGTGACTTTTGACACGCGTCCAAAGGGCGTATAGAGCACATACCATAGTGAGTTGGGACCTCTCTTCTGCCAAAAAGTGACCACACACAAAATCGCACAAGAGAGAAACGAGCCCAAAGCACATTAGAAAGTCCATCTCCAGCCATTGCTCTTCCTTTTCAGCTGTTTACAAATCAGAATTTCTATCTCTGTCAGGTCTCCAGAATCAATCATCTGGGAACTCATCTACTTGCCACTTATTACATTATTTTTCCTGACTGCTTCAGGCTGTTTTGAAAGCCTCGGCTATTAAAATAGCTATCCAACAGTCAGCCCCAGGCAGGAGGAGGAGTCTTTCCACAGCAAACTCCTTACAGGGTTGGGCGTAGAGCCCAGATTTTCAAAGGGGTTTAGTTGCCTAAAGATGTAGGTGAGGGCTCGGCGGGATTTCCACAAGCTCCTCAGTTTTGGTGCTACACGTCTCTGCTACAAGTTACTGCAAAAGTTTCGAGAAAACTTTCTTTGGATGCTCAGTTTGCATAGAGATCAAACCCTGAAAGTTTCAGTGTTTTCCCCCCTCTGTTGTCTCATGTCAATTGAACAGTTAATAGAAATATTCTGAAAAAAACGCTAGAATTTAGAGGTATTTTCCAAACACAATGTAAGAGAAGGAGGTATGCTATGAATAAAACATAGAGGCTTGACAGAGGAACATCTATGATCTGGATTAGAAAGTCAAATGACATCATCATGATAATAATTCCTAGTTTTAGAAAGCTAAAAAAACCCCAAAAACAAACCCAAACTATCCCAAAATCAAACTCCCCCCCCCATTATTTGGACTTATGTTGCTGCATAGAAGTCCAGTATTGAGCTGCTTAATTTTTGCTTTACAGAGCAAAAATTAATTTCCTGTTGGGTTTTGTTTTGTTTTTTTTTTTAATATGAGCAGCATTGTTGTTTATACCAGCACAATACCAGACTCTGACCCCACGTGTAAAATACAAAGTAGAGTAGTGGACAAAAAGCTGATTAAAGCATGGTCATCCACCACCAGATAGAATCTCTTGAACTCTTGCTCGTACTTGCCTAATTTATTTACAATATAGCATGCGACATAACAACAGACCTGTGGGGATTAAGCTCTGGCTTTGCTCTCCAGTTTGTAGGCTACATTTTTCAGTGTGGGTATTGGCATTGCTTGATGCCATGACTGCAGTTTCTTGTTTTGTTTGGAATACACCTAACACAGTGCAAAGTTACTCCTAGTAATAAATAATGTGTAGCTGCTACAAGGGAAAGATGGTTAAAAGGGTTCAAGCTTACATCTCAGTGCTCCTGACTGCCTTCATAGGTAACTTTCTGGTTTTGTTCTCTTACAAATGCTGATAACATGGAAAATTTTCTCACAGAACAGGAAAAGGGCGTTTTATGTTATTTCTAGTGCACAGATGGTGGGGAACATTTATCTTTGTAAGAAAAGCCTTTTCTACCGTTCGTAAAGATACTCAAACGTAAAACTTAGTGCAGCACACATCAAAAAAAAAAAGCATGTGGGGTTTGAGACGGGCGAGTAGACAGAGCTCTGCAACTTGCAACTGCCCACTGTGCTTAGGATTAGGAAGAAAATCGACAGGTATGCAATGTTTCATCTTAAGCAAGCCTCACTCTATAATGTAAATATTTGGAGTGATTTCCATTGTAGTTCAAGGCTAAACATTCATTCAATTATCAAGAACCAGCAAAGTTGAATTTTGCCACTGTTTCTGCATCTGGGAACTCAGAGCTAGGCTTGTTTTTTTTTTTTTTTCTTCCCTGCATGACACCTTTTACTTAAGTGGCACCCAGCCTGCTAGATCCCAGACCCCATGCTGTTCTTTAGGCTTTACATGGGCAACCCGAAGCTCCGCCTCTGCCAGGAGCCATGGACTCCTCACATCATCTCTTTGATGACAGTATGGCAAGAAAGAAAGGAACACAAACTTAGCAAAGGAATCACCGGGGCACCCAGATTCTAATCTTAAAGCACTCAACGACCACAAGTAGCCAAGAACAGAAGACCTATAGAGTACCCCCGCAACGCCCGCTCCAGCCTCTCGGTACCTCCTGGGCTCCTCAGCAGCACTGAGTGGGTGGCAATGTCCATCTTAGCTCCTTCAGAGTAACGGGCTCCACTCAGCTGTCCCTCTGTCCTGTGCTTCCTCATCAAGTCCTGCCTGTCTCGGTAAGGAACCGGGCAAGAAAAGCCATTAATTCATTGGGTGTGGACCAGCATTTGCAAAACGTTGAGACAGCAGTTCTAGATAACTCCCCTGATGGCTTGTCTCTGATATGCTTTCAACCAGATGACAAAGCCTTCCTCACATCGGGATGAAGCTTCAATAGGGGCATTGAGGCTTCCATTAAGTATGTGAGGCAAACCCGAGCTGATAATTTGACAGAGAGCACATTTTAGCTTGTCAGACTGAAAGTGTAGACTTGTGATATCCTGAAGGAGGGGCCAATAACAGTGCATTAAAATAATTTATTAAAGACTGTTTAAGATAGATTTAAAGTTTTATTTATAGTCTTTACAATTACCATGTGGTTAAAAGGCTCAAGCCCTCCAAAGGAAATCTGTGAAAAGCCTTTTATTTGAGTCTGCCAAGCTGTCTCTTTCAACCGTTAATCCAATCATCAAGAGGCAGAGCTTCTGCAGTGGGATATCTGAATAAAGTCTGGGGCAGATTCATCAGGAGTCTATCACTAAATTTCCAAGCACTATCCAAACCTCTTCCATAGCATAACAATCACCTGGCAGTAAGTACAGCTCTACTTGAATCCTTCTATTTGATTAAGTAATCATCTGGAGGCCCAGAAGACTTATCAAAACCAGTCCTAACACCCACCACCTCTATAAAATCCATTTAAAAAAAGCCACAGCTCGAAAGCCACATAATTCAGGCCACTTGGAAGTTTTTGCTAATCCGCAGTTGAGGGCTGACAGTATGCTGTGCTGGCCTGGTCTAAATTTGTTGTACCGATGCCAGTGGCATCCCTGGTATTTTTGACAAGTGTTAAGTTTGTGTGATCAGTGTGTGGTGGCCCACACATCGTCAGCCAAAGTTGTGCTCCGCCTCTCACAACCTTCCCATGGACCATTTTGCCGGGTCCTGTCTCCTCTCAGTCCTCATGAAAACGCAAGCTTGGAGCTCTGCTCTTTTATTTCTCTTAGAACTCTCTCCATAGCTGGGCCTTTCTTCACCCACCGTCCCTCAGACTGAATCTCCCACTTCGCATTAAACTTCTGCGACTCCACCTTTCACAGGGCTTCTTGCCTTGTGTTGAACCTCCACATCAAACCCCATCCAAAACTTGCCACTTCTGGCACCTACCGTAATATCATGGCTTTCCTTTACAAAGACCACTCCAGTCTGGCATTTCTCTGCCCACGTGTCCGTGTTTTCATCCCCCGCAGTGACGGACATCACCGACACCAGCTCAGACACGGTGCTCTTGGGTTAAGGGCCTCCAAGGAATCGTGTATCCACGCAGGCACCACATGCAGAAGCAAGGAAACGTCTGAATGGCTTCAAGCGTCCATGCCGGTGTGAAACCTCAAAAGCAAGCAACGGAAGTTATTTTACTAAGAGATATGGATACTTTAATATTAAAAACGATGTCCAGTACGCTATTGTAGGACAATAAGATGAACAAAAGTAAATTCCTTCTACTAGCTGAATTGTACAATTGTTTATAGTAAAATCTTCATGGTTCAATCGCTCCTATCAGTGTTCAGAATACAAAGAATGAATTCCGGAGGTTTTTTTGAAAGCCTCTTACCATTTCTCTGTTGAGCATTTATGTTCCCATGAATCCAATCCATTCTAAGTTTAGCGCTGAACACCGAATTAGCAGACGCGACTAAAGTTAAACCGAAGCCCCACGGGAAGTGAATAAATGCACATGGGCTGAGCATTTGTAAGGGTGGTACCTGCTTCGGAACTGCAGCACCAAGCAGCACCCTTTAATTCAATTTTAGTGAAAGCTGATTTAGTTAATTAAGATGGCGGAGGCACGAGAGATTTAATCAGGGTCCAGTGGTAACAATCTCATGACACAGATGGAAAAAGTTGACAAATATGAACTATCTGCATCATTTTATTCTTATGTTAAATAGCACACAGTTCTGTAGGTTGGCTATACTGTAAAAAGCACTGTAAAAATTTCCCATGTTTGCACTGTGTGTACACGCAGAATTATCAGTTAATGCAATCTGAAAACTCAGAAGTCTTGAGAAATTAGAAATGTAAAGTAAAACTAAGGCAATATATGCATCCAGCTAGCGTCCTTGGGAGACATTCTCAAAATACCACCTAAAACCAACCATAAAGCATGTATTAGTCTCAAGGATCTCCTAGAAAGAGACATCTGTTTTGGAACAATCACAAAGGGCTATCGCCAAAACTATCCCGTAATAGTTATGAGCTGTAATTTGACATTTCAGATACGCATTCCTCCTGCCAAATAATATCATATTTTTGCTCTTGGCAGAGAAAATAAAGAGAAGCATATATCCAAGATGAGTAATTTAGTACAATGTAATCAAGGCAAGCTGCCCCACAGACTAGGGACCGAATTAGAGTTAGCAAGATAGGTTTTATTGTCCTCTTAAATAAAAGTGTGTGCATTACGCAGGGAAAAAAAATTTAGAAAGAAAAATGGTTTTCTTGTTTATCTTATTTTCCATCTGAGCCCAAGTGCAAGCTTTTATTCCAAGAGCAGATGATTAGAGGTGGGGTGGCTAACGCAATTATTGCTGTGAGCTGTGTTCTGTGGAGGTTTCCATCCCTGTAGATGCACATCCCAGTCAAGGAACCTTCTGCTCCTCAGCTGTCCCAGTTCACAGCCCAGCATATTCATGTTAATTGTCACTGATTTCAAATTACATCACGATATGGGGCTGTAAATGGAGCTGGACAAGAAGCACAGGCAGATCCCAGACCTGTGGGGAGGTGATCCATGGCAGAAGAGGGCAGCTGGCAGTAATATTTGCCTCAGTTGTCACAGATTAATCCACCTGTAATTAGGAGTTACAGCTCTGTGTCCCTGGGCAGGGAAGTGCCTTGTAGCTGGAGCAGTAAATTGCTCTCCCTGTGCCGCTGACTATTCCAGCATCATTTAACTGAGCTAAATAACAAAATCATTTAATGTGCTCAAAGGACTTTGTATTACTGAATCATCCCATCCTCATTTTACTCAGAGTCTAAACCAGTTAATGAAAGAGATGGCTAATTTAAGGGGGAAACAATCTGTTGTCTCCAATCTTAATGATTCACGTTCATACACAGCAGTTTGGGTTATTAGTCAGGCCTCTGCCTTTCCTCTCCCAAATGCAAGTTGATGCAAAATGACTGCATCTCAGCTGCCCCAGTTAACAGCTCCGTATTTCTGTGCAAACCCACCTAAATCAGCTGTAAGGCAAGTTCATGTTACATGATAATAGAGAGATTAGCTGGAGCTGGTCTCTCAGCATTCTTTGAGTTCTCTGCTCTAACTGCAAGAATGAATGACCCAGATACTTTTTAATATTGGCTTCTCTCACATTCTGGGTTTTTAAATTAGAATAATTTCCTTGGTTTGCTATCAGGCATTCCTTTAAAGTAAAAGCAATCAGTACAAGCACATATCTTGAACCCTGACGTGGATTTTGTGTGTTATTTAAGTGCTCAGTCAGTTTTCTGAGAACATATACCTTGTAGGCAGCAAATGTTAAATGGAATATTATTTTTAAAAGGTCTTATGGTATATTAAAAATGCATCGATGTAAGCAAAAGAAGATTACTAATGAAATGATACAATTAAATATTCAAATGTAACTAAGCTAACATTTCCCAAGTGCTATAATATATGCTGACTGCACTGTACTTATTTTACAGTATCACTGTACTTATTTTACAATAGAATCACAGACATTTCAGCTGTAAAGACTGATTTGGTTAGCCTGTGCATCGCTGCCACTGCAAATTTTTATCCAGGTGTATTTACCAGTTCAAGCAATAGAAACAATGAGCTGCAAGAGTGACAAGAGTAAACTCTACTCCTTAATTCCAGTGTTGCTCATGACTTAAGAGAATGAATGCATTTTTAGAGAGATCTCTACTCTCACAACAGCCAAAAATGATGCCCATCTCATGTCAAAGCCTGATGACAAGAATGGAAAAATAGGGAGAAAGTTGGAAGAACATATAGTCCTTCTCTCTCTCACACACACACACAAACACACACACACACAAATATTGTATATTTTCAGGACATCTGATTCTGTAACAGTAATAACCCCTGTCTAAAAGAATAATGCAAACCATGTAGAATGTGTCACAGTGAGCCACGTTTCCTCTTAAGGCAAAACAGAAACCTGAAATCATTGTCCTGGAATGCACTGAAACCTCTTAGCACGAGTTCCTGAAATATTCATGAACATTAAGAAAATAGCAAACTTTTTGGAGAGTGTGCTATTTAGATGTAACTTGCTATGTACATGCCATCCTCTAAGCTCTAAAAATATAAAAGGATGGCTTTTTGCAGAAAGTAAATGAAGTAATGGGGACTCGGGAGTTTTATCTCCTGGCTGCCACAGACCACGCAATGTTGATTAATTCAGTTCCTCAATTACTCATCTTAACTGGGAAAATTCTTACGTGATGGGGTGTTTGCTAGTGTAGATCAGTGAGGAGTTCAGAATTTTAAGATGAGAGGATACACTAAGTGTGTAAATTATTGATAAATAGTAGAGGAAACACTGAACATAATATAGCAGCCCAATATAGATTTAACATTAACTTTCCAAACTTCTGCCTTTTTGTTACTCTTGGAAAGTTCAGAGGCAGGCACCTTTTAAACCTCAAATTCTTATGTTAACCACTGCGGAAAAGGAGGAAGGAAGGCAAAAGAAAGGAAAAAGAGAACTAAGGAGACGCAAACTTCAATTGCAGGTATGCAAAGACGCAGCGGCGCAGCCGTCGCCGTCACCACTTCCCGTCACTTCTCTGAGTTTGTTTCTCGTAGTGTGGGGCTACGTGCCTCTGGTTAGGCAAGTCAGGAGCTCACCCAGTGTGAATTAGTCATATTGAAGGAGGTTTAGGAGCATAGAAACAGCAACTTTACATTAAGTGCTGGAAGTAAGTGCTAAAGAGACCACTGTTGAAATGTTTATGTATTTTGCAAAGACATAAATATTTGGAGAACAGCGAAAGGCACTGCTTGGCATAGGCAGGCAGAAAGCATTTTACCTGATGACTTGGCCTCGGTTCCAAAGACATTTCTGTTGGCGGCAGCATCAGCTCAGGCAGCCTCTCCTCTCCACAGCCCTGGGCGTATGGATTAGCCCTGCTCCATGCTGGTAAAGTAGTACTGCACAGCAAAACCAAGCAAAAAGGCATGCTGCAGAGGAAGAAAAAGAAGGAAAAGAAGGAAAAGAAGGAAAGAAAGGGAAGGAAGGGAAGGAAGGGAGGGAAGGGAGGGAAGGGAGG